ATGTTTGAGTTAAGTTTTTGACTTTTTACGAAAAAATATGTATTAAAATATTGTATAAAATTATGAAATTACCCTCGCTGACACTGCGCAATGCACTTTCTGTCACTTTTCATTTTTATTTTTTATATGGCATGTGTGGCAACAAGTGTCACGTTTAAAATTTTGTTGGAATGTGTGGCTGCACAGTTTGTGCAGCGCTGTTTTGTTTTTTTTTTTTTTTTTTTAATTGATAGATTTCCTGTCAAAAAAGAAATAAATAGTGTAAACTTTTTTAGTGATTTTTAAAATTTTTCTGATAATGCCAAACCAGCCCTTATTAAACACCACCTTAAGCCTTGACCAAGCAAAGCAAAACGGAATAAAGCTTTGAAAAAATAAGGGCTGAAAAAATAAGCTTTTTCATCTCAATTTTTCAATTATTAATTTTTAACTTATAATAAACTGTACTAGATAGGCACATTAGTTATACAAGAAAGTTATGACCACAGTTATTCACACATTTTTCACTGAGAATGTACAGAGTAGGCCTGTATTCAATAGAATCAATACTAGTTTCTCATCTCATGGATTGACTGCATCACAAAAAAAAAATAGAATCAACTGTGCAGTAACCAATACCAAACACTGCAATGATTTTTTTTATTTTTATTTTTTTTGAACTACAAGCGCTGCAATGATTGATAATAACATGTATAACTATGAATAAGATTGATAACATCAGTTATAAATCCATTTTGACCGGACAACATCACCATTAACAGTAGCATCAATGACATTTTCCATTCTAAAATCTCAGAAGTGTTCCCACCCATTCCAAGTTCAACAGCCTCACCATGAGAATTGACAACATTTTCATTGCAACCATTTCTGTTCATTCCATTCCATTCAATGCTGCTCCAGTAGTCTGAAACACAAAAAGAACTCTCAATTCTTTATGAAAATGATGGTTCCAAGGAAAAGAAGGTGTCCATTCAAAACCCAACCACCGAATCAGTAAATTTTCTTTTTAATTGTTCACTTTCTTAAAATCTCTATACCATGTACCTTTCAATCTACTTGGTGATCCCAGTTCTAGAAGCTAGACATTTCAAATGTTCCCAATGATTAATCAAGCTGCAAACAATGCTGTTTGGTGTAGCTGTTAAAACAGATTATAGATTATAACTTAACAGATTATAGATTATGACTTTAATCAGAAGCTGTTAATCTGTTTGGTATAGCTGTTGAATTATAGATTTAAGTTGCTGAGTAGTGTTTGTTAAATAAGCTGTGAAGTAGCTTTTTCAATTAATTTTTATTTTTTATTATTCACTATTTGTCTACATTTTTCATAAAAAATAATAATAATATTTTATAGTCTATTTGGATCTTTTTCTATGTTTAAAAAAATAAAAAATAAAAAAATCTAAGAGTATAACTGTGAATTAACATGTCCACAGCAGAAGCTGATAATCAGAAGTAAGGGGTGAGCAGCTTCTCAGAATCAGTTTTTTGGACTTAAAATAAGTTCTTAGAATCACAAGCTGTTTGAAATAAGTTAACCAAATAGTCCAAAATAACTTTTTAAAAGTCAGAAGTCATAAGCTGGCTCAAAAAAACCCCACCAAACACCTCCAAAGACTACAACAGTTTCCACGAAGTGAGCAGCCATCAGGAAAGCGATGCCAACCGGGAATTGTCTGGCACATAGGAAGGTCAGAAAGGATCCGTGTGAAAGCAAGTTATCGTGCGTTCTAAAACAGATTAAAGTCCCTTTCGAATAAGACATACAAAAGACTGATTACACAGAATTTTCAAATGGCTCTGAATAATTATAATATAAACACATACTGACTCGTGTTTGAACAAACATTAAAACACATGGCATAATTTTGGCCAGGACCAGACCCCCTAGCAAACTTGAATTTTTCAAGGATCGATGTGGTTAAATTTTAAATTTTAAATTAGTAGTCAAGATACTCGGGAAAACTATCCCAGAACCAGAATTCAAGCAGCAATAATGATAGGAAAATAATTAGTATACCAACTAGATGCAATCTATGAAACACGGGTATGGGTATGAGTACTGTGATACGATGCGAGTACGTCGATACGGTAAAATTCAAAAAAACGTAAGGCACGGGTATGACTTGGTACGTTGTAAAAAAATATGTATTTTTAATTTAGAGTAATGCAAAAATTAATTAAATGGTTTAATTTGTTAAGATACCTATAATTAACATTTAATGCCAAAAGTAAAGGTATGAATCAAAATTAAATGTCAATATATTAAATAACTTACAAACCATAATTTAATTTTAAAATCATGCTAAGCATAAAACTAAAAGTAAAAAAAATAAATAAAAAAAAGTCCAGTGAAAGAAGTTTTATCTCTGTAGTAGAAAAAAATATTGTTTCAACTGAGATATGGTACGGCTTGGATATATACTAGGTACGTCTGGATACGTCAAAAATTAAGAAAAAAAAAATTGAACACATGTTTCATGTACCCTGTACGTATACAAAAGTATCATACGAGGTACTATACGCCGATAAGTACCCGGTACGGGTGCGGTATGTTTTTTAAAATATCCATGCTTCATAAGATGCAATATTAAGTAGAACTATATTTAGTGGTGGAACCCACATATATGCCTTGTGTCTTAATGTGCTAGCTGGTAGCTGCCTTTGATCTGCAGTTTACCTTTCTTCAAGTGCACTAAGGCCTCGTTTGGGAACAGGCTTTTTTAGTAACTTTTTGACTTTTTAGCTAAAATGTGATGTAAAAAAAATTAGTATGTTTGGGATGACTTTTTGACTTTTTACGAAAAGATATGCAAAAAGTAGAGAGAAAAGGGAATCTTTGACTTTTTGATATGGGTTGTTGGCTTTTTGATTTTTTTAAGTCCAAAATCTGGCATATTGTAGGTAAGATTCAAAGGTAGATAGAAGCATGGAAATTTCAGTCTAGTGCCCTATGTGAGCTGGGTGTAGTTCTAAATGTACCTCAAAATATTAGTTGGACACCCAAGCCCAAATTTGAATTTTTTGTTTTCGCTTACAATACCCCAAATAATTTCAATCTTACCCCCACCCAACCCAACCAACCTCCCAGTCACCTCCACCACCTCCCAACGCCCACCAACCCCTCTCCGCTATTCACCGGGCCACCTTCTATTCCTTTACCACCCTCGCGCCTTCTAATCCTTCTCCTTCTCCCAAAACCCTAAGGGCTTTCAAATCTAGGGTTTCAGGAGGAGGAAGAAGAGGGGCTAAAAGGGGGCTTCGTGGCAAGAGAAGGCGGTCACGACAAGGTTGGGAGATCTGGGTTAGGTTTCACAGTGGAGGACGGGGTCACAATGGTAGAAAAGAAGAAGAACGCAGTGGCGACAGCGATGGTGACTAGGAGGGTGTAAAGAAGAAGGGAGAAAAGTTGGTAGCGACGAGGAGCAGGGGGTGACTCTGGTCACAGGAGGCGGAAGAAGGAGCGAGGAGGGGCTGGGGGTGGCGGTGGCGGTGGTGGCTGGAGCTAAGAGTGGCGGGGGTTAGGCTTTTGGGTAGGGTCCTTTTTGGTAAATTGATTTAAGGGTAGAATTGTATTAAAGAATAAAAACAAAAAAGAAAAGAATAAGTGAGGTGTCCAAGCAACATTTTGGTGTGCATTTAGAGACACCATTTAGCTGCTTGATTAGCATTTAATTAAAAAGGGATACCATGTGGCACTGCTGGTGAACCTTTTATCATACCTGTGTCAAGAGGAACCAGAGCAAGAATGATACCAGGTGGACAGTAAACAGGGGCAGCAAAGATCACAAACATAACAAAAATGACAAAAATTTAGGATTTGTAACACCATGGTATAGAACAGATAGTTTGACGATCATGAACTCAGCAAGGAAACACTAATTAGACCTTAATTTCTTCTAACTTTGTGTTCTAACTTAGTCTCATGACAAGTAGGCATTAAATTCAATTTTTGTCCCCCTAATGGATTATCATATGTAAAATGTGTTTGCTTGCAAATTCAGTACTATATTTAGTAAAACTACACCATCAGTTTTGTACAGCTCTTCAAATTTCACCAATCAGTAACCACTAAAAATAGATTTCCTGAACAAATATTCGTTGGCAACCAGCTGCCATGGTATGAAGGCCTTTTTCTCAAGCAAGTCTTGATAAATAAATAAAATAGCGTATGTTACCCATGACAACGTGTTAAGTAGATTAGCAATCATACCAAATTTTTCTGTTGCTGATGTTGCTGCCGAGAATTAACCATAGCAAGAAAAGCTACAATCTTCCTACAAGTTTCATGCCCTAGTAAAGAATCAGAGTTGTCAAGATAGTGTTTTCATTATTATCTGAGCCTTTTTATAAGAATGCTCTCACCTCTTTTCTGTATGAGGAGGCTAGTATCGGTAACCATGCTCTTTCCATTATCATCATAGTTGTAATGAGCCCAACTTTTGCCAATGCCATTCTTTGTGACCATAGATCTTGCCAGTGAAGTTGCCTCGAGATCATTCGATTCACTAGTAGTAACTTCATTTTCTCCTAAAACAAAGCTCCTCTGCAGCAGTCACCCATGAAAACATCTAGTCTAGCAAGCATTTGCTTCCATGATCATCCTTGTCTGGTAGCTGATCAGCCATAACTACAAACATTTTCCGAACAGATTGCTGCTGAATATACATGTTAGTCTATTATTCCGTTTGGGCAAAAAAACATTTTCTGGCATTTGGTACGACAAAAAACGAAAGTCAACAGAAATCAAGCTCAATTCGGAGGAAAATGTTTTCCACTTTTCAAAGGTGGAAAACATTTTTGGACAGTCTTAACACCACCACCTCGCCACTGCCACCCAACTATCACCACCTCCTCCACACCGCTACTACTAATACAACAACTAGCACATAAGTTTCTAGGCCACAACCAAACATAGAAGAACACTTTCTATGGAAAACACTTTCTGAAAATTGATTTTTATAGAAAATGTTTTCCATGTGAAAATATTTTTCGCAGAAACAAACAAAGCGTTATATTTTTTGAACAAAAAAGAGCACATATGGGAAAAAACATGTCTTGTTCATTTCCCTCATGAATTCACACTACAAAAATACATAGGCCAATTCACCAGAATACAAAATGCAGCTGAACAATTTATAATTAGCTAAGTGGATGATTACAAGAAAAAGAACGAGGAACTTGCACTTCATAAATTGTTCTGTCTGAACCCAAAACTTCCGTGTACTACAATGACGCAAAGTATGTGTAATGACAACAATAATGTTAAAAGACCTTTGTTTAGGAAAATTATGCCAGGGGTAGGCATGGAGGGCCAGATATCATGGATTGAATGCTGTCCCAATATCACCACCTGATCAGGAATGCAACTGCAGATCGCAAATGGTATTTAGATCAAGCTTCTGATAGGCTTGTGGAGAGTTTGCCCATTTAAGGTCATTTGCACTCTCATGCCTCAACAGCAGATAATATTTCATCAGTCAAATGAGGTGAAATAATCTCCTCTGTGCTGTCTCCATTCACAGCCTCCATTCCAAACTCTTTTTCCTTGTCCGCCTCAGAGTCAAGCAGCTTCTCCCTGAGTTTTTTCATAAGTTCCTCTCTAGTGTTAGTGTTCTCAGCAAGGTATTGTTTGATAGCATCCTTGCCACGAAAGCTCTGACCATTCATACTGTAATATGCACCTCCAATTTTTGTTATGAACTTGTGTTTGTATCCTAACTCTACAATTTCTGACTCAAGACAAATACCTTTTCCAAACTCAAGCTCAAATTGTGCAGTTTTAAAAGGAGGTGCATGCTTGTTCTTCACAATCTTTACAAGAACTTGACTCCCAATAGTCTGCAAAACAAAAATTATATCCCAAATGAGTGCAACCACAATCAGGTATCAATCTGAGTCTCGGACCTCTTTTCTCAAGTGGCTCTCATAAAAATAAAGAACCACTAGAAAAATAAAAAAAATAAAAAATCCTGATATAGTTTAAACATATAATGGCTGCATGGTAAGGACATTGAGACTGACAAGGGTTTTTGAACATCTACTTTTAGTAGCATCAACGGAGAAAAAGTTATTAAACAACAAAAAAAAGGGAAAATAGGCATTGCCAGGTATTCCTAACTGAGAGGCCCGTTTTGTGATGCAAGCTGACCTAAGGATGGAAAAAGCATAAAGGCCTATAAGACCAGAAAACAATAAGGGGCTGCCCAACAAATTTTAACACTACACTAAAATCTAAGATCACCAACAGAGTGAGTGCACAGATGCCCCAATCAAAGGCTTCTAGAACAATCTTTCAGTTTGAAAGACTTTTTGCTTTTAATACCCTTGCAAACCAAATATGCATCGTCTTTTGTTGTCTCCAACCAAGGTTTTAAAAAGCAGCAGCAACCATTACGTAATGCCGTTATGTAACAGTTACATACGGTTGCAGTGGCTACCGCTACCCGTTACTGCCGCTATAGCGGTGTGACAGAAATTCACGACTGTAACGGCCGCTACCGTTACATAAAGGCCATAGTGGCCGTTACATTGCCGCTACAGCACCATTATGACTGTTATGCTTTTTTTTTCTCATAAATTTTGTATATATTGCTATTTTGTCATTTTATTTTCTAGTTACATAGAACTTAAGTAAAAATCTTATCTATAAATGTTTTGAATGTCCAATCTTCAAGTTCTACAAGATTTCATTACTTTTTTACCTAATATATTTGAATATGAACTTATATCTATTTTTCATATGTTAAATTTATTCAACAAAATTTAAATTTCATGTTATGTACTTTTACATTATTAGATTGACATTTTGTATTTTGAAATTCTGTTTATCAGACTATTATTCATTTTTATTCTTAACAAATCGAAAAGTTATCCATAATTATAATTAGTAAAGTAAAGAAAATTAAATAAATTCAACAATAGGAAAATTATCCAGAGGAACTTAAAACTAATATAAAAATTAGTATATATATTGGATCATGTTTTAAAACTAAACAAAAATACTAAAAATCATTTTGAACCTCACTAAATGTGATTTTGAAATAAAAACATGTGTATCGGTATGTTTTCCTAAAGTTGTGTAAAAAATTAAAAAATTCACGGCTCCAATTGCCTCCACTGTTACACTACGGCCGTTACACCTAGTAACCGCATCAGCGTTATGACTACCGTTACAGTAACTGCCATCGTTATTTAAACCCTTGTCTCCAACACAAGAACCTATGCATATGTCCAATTGAAGTGCTTAAGAACATGCTTCAAGTTTGAGGGACATGGCCAAGTCATTTCCACGTAAAAATAAATAAATAAGGGAGTGAAGAAAGAAAAAATAGTTGAATCCAAACAAAATGTTAATAGTTGTTTTGAAATGGCTAGCGGTCATCTTCCTTGTTATTGTCCTTCAATACCCAAGACCTAACTTCAAGACTATTACATCGTGAAAATGTAGAGCAAACCACAGGGCAAGTCTTGAGTCCAAATAGGCAAAGTTTTCTAAGGCTTGGCTTGAGGTGAGGCTAGGCCGAAACACATCAAGGCTTTTATTTATAGACAATACACCCCAAAGGCTTGTGCATCATAGCCTGAGCAGTGCACCTTGTGTGCCTTTTGCACATGAGCATTTGAGGAATACACATATGAAGAGCTCGTCTTGGGGATGTTGTTAGACTTCGTCTAGTGGATGGTTTAAAATTAAAAAATAATAACCTCTTTTTGCAACCATAATCTGTAGAAAAAATGAAGTAAATGAACAATCAAGAAAAAAATAAAGTTAAAACTCAAATGAAAAACTTGATAACTAAAACCAAGAATCTTGATTTCCCTATGAGGGCAAGTTTCCTTCTCTGTAGTGAAATATTTGGCACCTTGAAGACAAGTATTTACACCTTTATACATGTATATATTTGCTATTTTTAAATATTTTATTTATTTACTGAATATAAAAATTCAAAATATAAAATCCTTACATCTCAATGCCTTATGCCTCATCTCATGAGGAGTAAAACGTTTCGCGCTACGCATTCACCTAATAGGAAAGGAAGGAGAATCTAAGAGCAAAATAAAATGTGGCTCCTTGTTAGCCAAGAACATTTACAGTGGTCTTCAAATCCCCACCAAAATAAAAAGGGGTTCCTTGTTAGCCAAGAACATTTGGAGCACCCAAAAATTTATTCCAGGTACCATTTGTTGGATATTACATGCAAACACTTTTTTTTTTTTGATAAATACATGCACACACAATTAATAGATCAATGAAAATTAATACCTCTTCTCCCTTCTTGACAAGCCCTGTTCTCCTAATGTTTAGGCGTACAGAAGCATAAAATTTTAATGCATTGCCACCACAAGTAACTTCAGTGGGCCCACCAAATCCACCAAAGGTGGATAGCTTTGACCTCACCTAAATAAAAATAGAATAGATTAGGAAGTTTGGTCATGAAATAAATGCTTACATGTTCCAATGGAATTGACTAACAACCGAACTACTTCATTAGACACAAATAAAACATAGTTCTTAAAATCATATCAGCAGATAAATATACTTTAAATAGCTATTTATGTTTTATAGCTCAAAATTTTGGATATGACTTCTAACAAAATCAACTGGAGGAAATGGATCCAAGTAATTGAGACACATGCTAGTTGAGTTGAGCTCAACCATTTGGATCATAACTTAATAATTTCACTTATATCACACAAAATATACTATCATTTCAATTAATTAAGTAAATTTTATAACTTTAAACTGATGCAGATTGAAAGAGGCCAAAACAAGAAGAAATTTTAAATTGGGAAATATTTTTGGTTTGGCTGCAAGAGAGCTTATGTTGAAACTATATGATGCAGTTTTAGAACCTTTATTTATTTATTTATTTATTGATGAAGTATAGTAGCTATGTGGGCTTAATAAAGTTCATTTGCTAGATTTAGGCTAAATATCCAGTCATTAGGGGAATTTCAGTAACTTAGGTTGTGGGCTGTAGAGTGGGCTCCCATGCTGTGCTTTTCCATGTAGGCTTATAATTTAGTTTGGTTTAAATTTAATGAGTTTAGTGGGTCTAAAGAAGATCCAAGGCTTTGGGTCTTTCTTGGCAACCAAGATTACCAAATCTACTCGGCCAGCCATTTCCCAGGAATGATGTGTATACATCTTTCCTTGGTGGGCGTGACTTGTGAGTGACTAAGAACCTGCGTGTGGTTGCCTAGTCTTCTTTCTTAGTATTCTTTTACCCTCAATCAATCAGCTTCTAGTTGTTCATTAATTGCCTTCATGGTGCAAGTAAAATATCCCACAATTTTTCATTTTTTCATAAAGCCAACAAAAGAAAAAAAGAAGAAAAAATCATATTAAATTGTGATATTTCCATAACATCAGGGACCAGGCATATATATTTTTGTTGGTTGGGAAACATTTCAATGGACAAAATGTCAAGGTAGGAGAAAGTTACCCAAGGTCTCAAAGAAGAAAGAGTAAATGTTCCTAGCAATGCTGTCGTAGCATGGACAGGCTAAGGTGGAGACTTAAGAATGCCAATAAATTTTGAAAAATAAATTGGAAGTATCAACTTTGTCATTTCTTGAGGTAGTGGGTTCAAACCCGAGGCCAGCCACTGTTTGCAAATAATGTGCCAAATGTTAGGTTTGTACCTAATCTACCCCTCCCAAACTCCCATCCTATGGGGACTAAATTGGGTGTACTTTGTCTTTTAACAGTGTCATTTGTTATAAGTCAAAATACAAATAGCATGAATTTTTAAAGGCTAAAAAATGGTATAAATGATGGCAATAAAAACACGCAAATCAGCCTATAGTATTAACTCCAAGAGAGATTCAGCAGCTTGTGATAGAAAACCCCATGAAATTCCCATAACTCTTTTGACAGGACCTGGACAGCACCCTGTGACAGTAAGTTGGCTCAGAAGGTCCAAAACTTTTTGGGGATTAGTTAAGAAGCAAGTAAATAACAAAGGTTGAGTGCAACAAAAGCCATGAAAAATTATAGTTTGCTATTAACATGTGACAAAGATAGAACAAAGTTCTGCTTTTCAGGCTTCAGTTTCTCCTCCTTTCAAGGGGATTCCACTTTTTTTATATTTCTAGGGATTGGAGGGCAGTGTGCCAATTGTAGGTGCCATTTTTTATATTTGTGCACTTTACTTCTTTTTTTTGTGTATCCTTATTGGTGGACTCCTTGACCCCCATCTTCTTGTACCTTCTCTTTGCATTAAAAAAATTTCTTTTGATGCTAATCAAAATATTATAAAACAGAATTAAAATTTTTAGCCCGATACCTGATTTATAAATATCAAAATTGTCTTTGATAAAGATAAAGAGTGGCACAATTTGCGGAGGGCCTGGCTCATCAATCTAGCTTGCATTGCCATGTGTGCATCACCCATCTCACCATCAAGTTCGCCTTTGGGCACAAGGGCAGCAGCCTGTCAGTCAAAACACAAAATTCATAAGAAGATCCAAAATAGACCAGGTATTCACTTTAAAAAATTTGACTCATGTTAGACAACATGAACCATTTGGTCCATGTGAGTTTAAACCATCACATTTGTGTGCCAAAGCTACATATGTCCAGCAGTGCAGCAAAACACAAGAAGGATTCCTTTCTAAAACAACTTCTCCTCAGATGATGGCCACATTAAAGCAGATGGGGATGAGGAAGGAGTGGTTGGAGATTTTGTAAGAAAGTCATCAAGTATGTCTTGCAACTAACTCCCAATCACAATCATACTTTCTAAATCACAGTGCAAAGAATCTTGATCTATGAAACACTCGACTTACACTGTCCACAACTACAACATCAACTGAGCCACTCCGTATTAGGGTATCCACAAGACTGAGAGCTTGTTCACCACAATCTGGTTGTGATAGAAGCAAATTCTCAGTTTTTACACCAACAGCCTCAGCAAGTGCTGGATCAAGAGCATGCTCAGCATCAACAAAAACACAGTAACCTGCACCCAAGATAAAAAATTGTAATCAACCAGGAGAAGCTGGTGTTAAAATCGACCACGTAGGAGACATTTCCTCAAAAAGATGAAAAATAGAAAATAAATTTATGAATGATAGTCAAAATTAAAGCTTACATATGCTTCCAATTATGCTCCATAATTATATATCATGAACCAGAAATCTGTGAATGAAATGGATAATATATCTATGTTACCTAAAACATGGATCGTTCTGGTACGTGGAACAAGAACGGGAACATGGTACACCACATGCTTTATATTGTGATACGATAAGGGTAGACTTACATAGTTTACACTATAAGAATTTAAAGTACTTCTAGTATAAAATAATTTTTTTCACAATTAAACATCCAATAAAATGTGCTGCTTTTTTCAAATTAATCATGTAGCAACACACATTGTGACCCATTTTTGACGTTTTGTCATGTGAAAACTTCACTCTCAAATTTTAGTTCATTATATTTGATAAAAGAAAATATATTGGAATCACTTTAGAGCTCTAAATTTACCATTTTTGAATGAAAGTGTACCATATTTCAGAACATGCATTCCAAAACGTAATTCGCTAGGTTATTAGTGTATTCTGGTAACACTATAATATATCATTGCTTTCTAAAATATGAAAAGCTTCTTCACCTTACACAACAATGATGATTTATTAGGCAGGACATGTAATACCAACGTGTTCAGTCTTTTTACTTTTCTTTATTTTTTTAGCCTCCTCTTTCTACTAAGCAACATAATGCATTGCAAGAAAATTTTGGTCATCTGACTAACATACTAATTTGGCAGTGGTTTTTTTTCCCTACTTTTTATTATTTTAGTCAAACAGGTTACATTGCAAAAAAGAAAAAGAAAAGAACAACAATAAAAATAAATAAATTGACGTACACAGATGACTACATTGAACTTGATTCATGACTTAGAAGTTACTCACTCATAACATACACTTGGAATGCAACAATGCAACCAAAATAAATGAATAAATGAACCTAGTCCCTAACCAACCATGCAAAATCAATTAACCAAATAAATGTGTAATAACCCGACCCTCGTATGTGATTGTGTGCTATATTTTAGTCTATTATTCTGAGCCTTCAAATACTTAATGTGAAATTTCAGGAGGAATTAAATTTAAGTACATAGATGTCATGAATTTAACATGTATCTGTTGGGCAATGAGAGTATCTGTCACACCTAGAATGGGTAAATCAGAAATTGAGAGTCTTAGAGACTTGATAATCTGAAACAGACTTCGTATTTGGAAACGGCATAATTTTTAGGTAATAATAAGCATATTTGCAGAAATTTGATTTGGGAATGATTAAACGATTGGATTTTGTCTTATTCCTCCTTTATAATATATATATATATATGAGCTCTTGGGTCATTTGATCAAAAAGCCTTTTAAAATCAAAATAGCTTCTAAGGAAAAAGACTAAGGGAGAGAAGAATTGAGAGAGTGGAGCATCAAGAAGGTTAGAGATTTGCAAATTGAAGTGTAAGGTATGTGGATGTCTATTTTGTTCTCATAATCATGTTACTTAAGGGTTGAGATTGTGGTGCTATGTGTGTGTAAGGAGGAAATTGGCAAGATAACCATATGTGTGAATGTTTTGATTGAATTTGAAGTAGCTATAAGAAGCTACACTCCTTCCTCCAATTCTTTTGCTTGGATGCAATTATATGACATGGTTTTGTGCATATATGTTTATGTTAGAACCTCATAGATGTATTATTGATTGATATATATTCATATCTATTACAATGATTCATGATTCCTATATATAGAAGAGGGTGAGTGTGTAGTAGGTAAGGAGTAGGTGAAGTGGAGGTGGTAGTGTTGTAGTGGGTTAGGTTTAGTGGAGTAGGTGAGGTGGTAGTGGTGTAGTGGGTTAGGTTTAGTAGAGTAGGTTTAAGTGGGTGAAGTAGGTGGAGAGTAGGTGGATTTTAACAGTATGTATGAATGAGTTTATGTCTGTGAGTTATGAACTTAAGAGTAATGATCTAACTTATAATTGATCTTTAATCACATGAATTTGGGACTTTAAACTATCAATTTATGGTTAAATTTTGAGGCTTTAAACATACTTACAAAGGATGAAATTTTGAGGAAATTTTTAGACTTTTGTGCTGAATCGCCGCACGTGCGGGGGTCAAGGCCGCACGTGCAGGAACCCCAGCCGCATGTGCGGGAGTCATGGCCGCACGTGCTAGAACCCCAGCCGCACGTGCGGGAGTCATGGCCGCACGTGCGGGGAAAAATGGCAAATTTTGGTGTTCAACACTGCTAAAAAGGCACGTGCGGGGCATCACTGCCGCACGTGCGGGAGACTTTGCCGCACGTGCGGCCCAGGCCGGGAAACACGGGTTGCTCTGTTTTGCGTGTTGGCTCCTCTAACGTGGTCGAAACCTGCAATTGATGTTATTATGATGTTCGTTAATTTAGTCAAAGTAAAATGAATTAAGAAGTGATTTAACAAGAAAGAGAAGAACTAATTTATGTGTTGTGCATGTGTAGGACACGCTTCAAGAGGATCAAGTGCCCCGCCGCAACACAGTGAGTAATAGTACTAGATGCACCTAAATCATGCTAAGTGTTATTGTTATTAACGTTATCTTTAACATATATGCTACTTGGAAAGAAATGTAAAGTTATGAAGTTAAGAAACATTGTGAAGTTGTGAAACTACCAAAAGAACTTGTGAAGTTATAAAATTCAAACAATGTGAAACTATGGAAACACCGAAAGAACCTGTGAAAATGAATTTATGTGGCCGAGAGCCAACTTGTGAAATGTGAACCTATGAGGCCGAGAGCCAACTTGTGAAATACGAAATTAAGGGGCCGAGGGCCAAATTGTGAAACTAACTTAGAAAATATGAAGAAGAAGAACTCTGAAAATATGAGGAAGAAAGAATATATTTCTGTTATATTCAAAACTTCTTATCTTACAAGACCAAATGACACTCCTTATATAGGAGATATTACAAACATCATCATAACCCATTATATGCCACTTACATATTATATATTACCACTATCTACCACTATCATATTATATACATGTCACTATCTACCACCAACACTACTATCATATTCTATACATGTCACTATCTACCACCAACACCACTATCATATTCTATACATGCCACTATCTACCACCAACACCACTATCATATTATATACATGAACACAATTTCCAGCAAACTATGATTCTAAGTTATGAAATTATGAAGCCAAGGGCTAATTGTGAACATGTGAACCCCTCGGGCCAAGGGCCAATCGATGAGATTGTGAACCGATAAAGTTGTTCGGTAAATGTGTACAGATTCAGACTCACTACATGATTTCCGCATTACTTACCCTTTTATATGTGTTACAATGTTAATGATGTATCGAAGTATTTTAATACTATTATTCATTGAGCCTGGCTCACTCTATGTTATGTCTGTTCCTGTAGGTAACCAAACCGGAGGTCGGTCCTAGCCCTATCATTGTCACGCTTTTGTCAGCCTAAGCATAGCCAGTCCTTTAATTGAAGCCGTTCATTTTTGTGATGTTTCGCTAAACTATGGCGTATACTCTTGTTTTTGGCTTAGGAGGAAATGTATATAATGTTTTGTTCTGCGCCCAATCTTGGGGCTGGTTTTGTATATGTATATGTATATATATATAGTTTTCATGTGTATCCTTTATATCTACAAATTTTATGTGGTATCTGTGATCCTGGCATGAAAGTAATCGCTCAATGGGTGTCATGCTTTTTTTTTGTTATCTTTTGATGATAACGCTTCTGTTCAGGCCCCTATGTTATATATATATATATCAGGTTAAGTGTCTATTTCTGCATAGGTCATGCCCGACCTTTTAGGGGCAGGGTTGGGCCGTGACAGTGGTATCAGAGCACGAGCTGCTATCTCACACACGAATCCATTGAGCCGTAGGATGTCTAGAAAAGACTTAGGCATCATGCATGACATCCTAAAATGTATGAAAGATCGATGGCAACGTTTAGTGTACCTTACTAATGTTAACAATTTGAATTATGTTATTGGATATACTTGAATGTTATGAAGGTTATGGTGAGAACAAGGACAGAAGATCTGGAAGAAATTTTGAGGCTTTAAACATACCTACAAAGGATGAAATTTTGAGGAAATTTTCGGACTATTGTGCTGAATCGCTGCACGTGCGGGGGTCAAGGCCGCACGTGCGGGAACCCCAGCCGCACGTGCGGGAGTCATGGCCGCACGTGCGGGGAAAAATGGCAAATTTTGTTGTTCAACACTGCTAAAAAGGCACGTGCGGGGCATCACTGCCGCACGTGCGGGAGACTTTGCCGCACGTGCGGCCCAGGCCGGGAAACACGGGTTGCTCTGTTTTGCGTGTTGGCCCCTCTAACGTTGTCGAAACCTGCAATTGATGTTGTTATGACGTTCGTTAATTTAGTCGAAGTAAAATGAATTAAGAAGTGATTTAACAGGAAAGAGGAGAACAAATTTATGTGTTGTGCATGTGTAGGACACGCTTCAAGAGGATCAAGTGCCCCGCCGCAACACTGTGAGTAATAGTACTAGATGTACCTGAATCATGCTAAGTGTTATTGTTATTAACGTTATCTTTAACATATATGCTATTTGGAAAGAGATGTAAAGTTATGAAGTTGAGAAACATTGTGAAGTTGTGAAAATACCAAAAGAACTTGTGAAGTTATAAAATTCAGACAATGTGAAACTATGGAAACACCAAAAGAACCTGTGAAAATGAATTTATGTGGCCGAGAGCCAACTTGTGAAATGTGAACCTATGAGGCCAAGAGCCAACTTGTGAAATACGAAATTAAGGGGCCGAGGGCCAAATTGTGAAACTATGATTCTAAGTTATGAAATTATGAAGCCCAGGGCTAATTGTGAACATGTGAACCCCTCGGGCCAAGGGCCAATCGATGAGATTGTGAACTGATAAAGTTGTTCGGTAAATGTGTACAGATTCAGACTCACTACATGATTTCCGCATTACTTACCCTTTTATATGTGTTACAATGTTAATGATGTATCGAAGCCTTTTAATACTATTATTCACTGAGCCTGGCTCACTCTATGTTATGTCTGTTCCTGTAGGTAACCAAACCGGAGGTCGGTCCTAGCCCTGTCGTTGTCACGCTTTTGTCAGCCTAAGCATAGCCAGTCCTTTAATTGAAGCCGTTCATTTTTGTGGTGTTTCGCTAAACTATGGCGTATACTCTTGTTTTTGGCTTAGGAGGAAATGTATATAATGTTTTGTTCTGCGCCCAATCTTGGGGCTGGTTTTGTATATGTATATGTATATATATCTAGTTCTCATGTGTATCCTTTATATCTACAAATTTTATGTGGTATCTGTGATCATGGCATAAAAGTAATCGCTCAATGGGTGTCATACTTTTTTTTTGTTATCTTTTGATGATAACGCTTCCGTTCAGGCCCCTATGTTATATATATATATATATATATATCAGGTTAAGTGTCTATTTCTGCATAGGTCATGCCCGACCTTTTAGGGGCAGGGTTTGGCCGTGACAAAATGAATAAATGAACTTATAGTCCCTAACCAACCCTGCAAAATCAGTTAACTTTTGTTCGTTAAGAAGGATGCTCTGGAGACAGATTGTTAGAAAAACAAAATTTAAATATAGAAATCTTTAAAGAGTAACCTCCTTGTTTCTGTGCTTCAGAAATTATATGCAGAGCAAGGGTTGTTTTCCCAGAAGCTTCTGGACCATATATCTCCACAACACGTCCCTGAAGAAATCCAATAAAGGCACTAAGCAGCCAAAAAAATCAAGGATAAATGAGAACAAAATTCTCTCTTCCCCCAACCTCCTATCCAGAGATACATAAATCAGATTTTTTTTTTTTTTTTTTTTAATAACATTTAAACATACTGATATTAGCATTTGCTTTTAGTAGTTTATAACTTTATATAATTTTATGTCAGATTTGACTACACAGCCATACAGACATAAACATGTAGACGTATTTATGTACAGGATGCATACAAATATTGCATTTCAAGCATGAATATATGTACATATGGCATGTAATGTGTTATTCAGTCTGAAAATCAAAATTAATTACAAGTGAAGATATAGAGTTGACAAACTGGAAATGAGTAAATTTTCCAATGAAAATTGTTCAAGATATAGACCTTTACCAGTCAGTAACAAAATTCTAAAAACTATGAATAACGATACAAGAACAGTCACAGATCTTATGGTCCCCAGAAAGGTAAAGGAAGCAAAGTGGTAAAATCATCCTAATTCTATTCAACAATCACATTTGGCATTTTACAATTCACAATTTATGAACAAAACTAAATTTCAAAATTCCTTATGACATTAAATGTGTGCATTTGCACAAGCTGAGTGAGTGGTTATTTTAATATAAATTATGCTAGTGCTGTTTGATACAGTGCATTACTAGAAAATAGAAAACAGTTGCAGGATACGACAAACTCTCTCTAAATATTAGTTATATGAAATTTTTGCAGCATGGAAAATAAATAATCACATAAATTCCAACTACTTAAAGATTTACCTTTGGAAGTCCACCAATCCCCAGGGCAATATCCAGAGAAAAAGATCCTGTAGACACCACTGGAACCTGTTTAGGAGAGAGAGACCGACCCAACCACATGACAGATCCCTTTCCAAATGAGGTAGTGATCTGATCCACTGCTTGTTGTAGGGCCAGATCTTTTTTAGACAAATTCTCTTCATTAGAGTCACTTCCATCTGCTTTAGATCTCCTTTTACCTTCAAACAAGCATAAGACGAGATTTGGTATCTCTCCTATTAGCACAAGCTAAATCAGGGTTACAAGATTTCAAGGGAGAACATAACATATTGCTTCCTTGTTTCTAGTCACACTCCAGACAACGCATAGTCCTATGAAACAAGGTATTCTACATAATCACTGAATAAGCAAAAGGATTCAATGTGTAAAACAGAGAATAAGTGGACTTTCAGGACATTTTACTGTAATGAATTAACCAAAATCACTTGGTGCACCCAGTGATGCCGAATGGCTATCAAGAAATCCATTCAACAAACTAATCGATCCCAACACTAGAAATTATGAAAAACTGATCCAAAAGAGAAGATAAAAAATATGGAGAAGATTAAGAATATCGAAAGAAGGATAACAAGCCCTAACACACTAAAAGGGCTACAGCCTTATTTCAATATCAATAATTCAAAGCTAACCTAAAACTATTACATAAAGCCATATATAGGCAACATAGGAAACCCTAACTAAAAAATAGGAAACTAAACCATAACATTATTTGAAAACCTAATCTCTAATAAAATAAGTAAACGAAATATACTGAGATCCTAATTAAACTATCAATAAAAAGTAAATAAACATAAATATAAAATTAAAAATAAATTAACTCTCCATATCACGTTCCGCATCACCCAGTCTATACAATGCAGCAGCACTATTAGCATAAAATAAAAGGCTACCAGAAGTGAGCTAACACATAACACATGATCAAAGTCTTTAACTCCCTAATACAGGTACAGAAGTACAGAATTAATACAATCAAACCCACACAACCACTTCATGTGGGCAGCGGACTTTCAGGACCTAGTTATTCTTATTTGAGTGCCCCAGGGCAATAACTAACTGTCAGGTTATCAGCACTCATACCTCCCCTACAAAGCTTAACAACTCATTATGTAAGAAAGTTCTAGACAATCATTTTTAAAGCCTGTACCATAATGCTCATAAAATATTCTATATTATTTGTTAGTCCTTAATTTTGACATGACTCCCACAGTAACAGCATCAGCAAGCACAATTCAGATGGCAACAACCAAGAAAATCGTCCATCGAAAAGGAACTGCTGAAGGAAACTGAACATTCACCATTGGCCTTCATATACTTTCTTACATAAACTTGAAGTGACATATTAACATCTCCAAAGAATTTGTTGTGAAATTGTCATACCATCAATTTCATTAGTTCCCTAAATGATGATATATTTAATTTGACTTAATTATTTTGTTCACAGCGTCTCTTTTTCCTTGCCTAATAATATTTTACCTGCAAATAAATTTAGGTTAGACATTGAACAGCACCACAAAATTTTTGGATTGCAACAAACATAAAAACCATAAACGCAAAAAAAAAAATAAAAATAAATAAATAAATAAATAAAAAATAAAAAAAAATCAATGTGATGGTTGAAATGCCCAAAAAAAAAAATTGGACCGCAACAAGAGCAAGGACAAGATAAAAAAATGTTATATAAATGATACCAAATTTAAGCATCATAAAATTTTAGGTTTTATTAATTAGATTACAATATAAAAGCAATATAACCTTAGAAAAATCAGAAAGAATGCATTTGTTATGTGCAGCTATAATCAATGAGTAGACATAGAAAAAGTATATATTTAAGGATCTCAGATTAAAGGCAGGCACAGGACAGTGTAGTTTGGGGCGGTACGCATTGCGATCCACCTATTACCGTACATTTTTGCTTTACGAGCCTTACTAGTAAAAGGGATCTACCATCACCAAAAATGCATCAACATCTGAAACCATACATTTTGCTCATTGCACACGTCCTTTTGTTGTTTAGGGCTCACCAACGGCACTGATTTCTGTAATTAATTTCTCTTTTATGAATAGTTGGTTAGATGTCTCTATCTACACTTATACCTACATAGACCCAAAAACTAGAGGTGCTTTTTTAAATAAGCCTTAAAAGGACAGAATGGCTAGAGAGTCAGTGGTAAACTTCAAGACTTGACAACATAATTCATAGCATGATCCAGTTGAGTAAGTTAAGAAAAGCTAATACATTGCAGCAAGCAAAAGCCGTTCTGAAACCTTTCAATACCTCTAGTAGAAAAATTGCATATCTTTGAAGATGTTACTAATAATTCTTTTCTACAAGCCTGCAAACCACAAGAAAATTTAAAGTTCAAAACTGAGTCATAAATGAGAAATACTATCAATAGTATGCTCTGTTCTGTCATCATGATTAAAGTTCATAACAAACTTTAGGAGTCACAAATATGCAATTTTAGCTGAATTTCATATTTTGGTTCCCTTCCCTCTATCAAAAAATTTGTACCCTTTTGGTGTAAGTTTATGGCTTTTTCTTCGACTACAAATTAGTTTCATCTTAGAAGTTGCAAGAACAAATGCGATTTCACCTCATAACAAAAACAGAAAACAAATTCATAGAGTACACAGACAAAAAGGCCCTAAGGGTAAGCACCAAGCACCATTGCAAGGATCACTCACGAGAAAGTTGAATACACTAACTTTACAAATCCAATGCACTATACGAAAAATAAAAGTCAAAAAAATCGCATTCCAAATTTAGTTGTTTCACTGATGTACCCCTTTTATCCTACTGAATCATAGCTATGAAACAGCAAACTTCAATACAAAAACCAAACAAGTAACTAGATAATAATCCCCAGAATGATCATTACATCAAAAACTTAACAAAATTAGCTTAAAGTATCGATTTTTAACATCAAAGTTCAAAAAACAAGAGCTTAAATAACCAATTCAAAGTTTCGTTTTGCGTTTTTGGAAGTAGATACTTGGCTTTCAAATGCAAAAAACAGCATCGATTGTATTGTAGATTTCAAAAGCAAAACAAAACTAGTGTTCAAATCAAATTGCAAAAAAGCAGTACTTGAGAAAAACTAAAACCATGAAAATGCGACGAGGTGGCAAGAACGATTTTACCTGCGGAGCGAATAGAGAGCATTTCAGGAAGGAAGCATTCCGAAGAAGCCTCGCCATTGAGACTAGGTTCAAATGCTTCCCACACTCCACACCCCAGAAGCTTCAACTCCAACATAATTTGCAAATTTAGGGTTTATATGTCTCAAAATGTTTTTCCCTCCTCGTCAAAATTTTTTTTTTTTTTTCTTTTCTTTTCTTTTTTTTTTTTTTTTAAGTACACGCCTTTTCTAACGTTTAAAAAAGAAAAATGTTTGGACAATTTTTTTTGAATTTCAATCATATGTGGACCTATTCATGCATGAGACCCACGCCGGTTGAGATTAAGGTCTCGTTTGGGAACAGGCTAATTTAGTAATTTTTTTGGTTATTTAGTTAAAATGGTAGGTAAAAAAAACTTGTATGTTTGGGATGACTTTTTGGTTAATTACGAAAAGATGTGCAAAAAGTAGAGAGAAAAGAGAATCTTTGACTTTTTGGTATGGGTTGTTGGCTTTTTGACTAATTTAGTAACTTTTTGGCTAATTGGCTAAAATAGCCTCTTGCCAAACGAGGCCTAAAAGAGATTGTGGGAGTCTCCAAATAGAGATCTCAATCATTGTTGAAAAAGAAAAGAGGAAAGACGATAGGCTTTTTGTTGGGTAATTATAACTCATTTTAATTAAAGAGTTTATGTTTCTGATTTATTAGGTAGAAATAATTTAAAGGGTCAAGCTTGTTTTTAATCTGATTGGATGGTTTTGTTGGGTTTGTAAGATTTATCATACGTCTGGTTTTGATAATTCAAATCGTTTAATGTATAGAACTCGTTGAATACTTTATCTCCGTAAAAAATCACGTTGATCGATATTGATAGCTACTTGATCGAACTAGATTTTTATCAACAATTTATTTTGAAAATTATATTTACCGTTGACGGAAATCTAATCCGATCAAGTAGTTATTGATATCCGATCAACGTAATTTTTTTACAGAAATAAAGTACTCGACGAGTTTTACACATTAACCGGTTCGGATTATCGAAACAAAACTCGTGGTTGGCCCCCACAGACCCAACAACATACTCTAGTCTGATTGCGAATTAGAGAGAAGCCTGGCCATAACTTAAATAAGTTGGAAAAAAAATGATTATTTGGAAGTTCGAAAATTAATGTTTTTAGTTTTTGCTTTCTGATTATTAGCTTTTAATTTAAAAAAAACTCCACCAAATAGGACCTATGTACTATATCATATGCGCCTCATAGTTATAAAGAAGAAAATGATATAATTTTATATTTTTTGAGTTATAACAAACAAAATTATATTAAACCTAAAAAAGTCATAGTCAAAATTTGAAAATAATATTACAACTAAAGAATAAATTTAGTCATAATTAAAGAAGAAAATAACGTAGCTAATGATCCATATGGTATGTGGATCTAGAATAAAATTCTCCTTAAAAAAAGACAGTGATTCATGAAGAATTTTTTTTTAATTTATATAATACTTGACTCCTTTTCATTAAAAATTAGTTAATCATGTGAATAAAAAAAATTATATTATTATCTCTTTTATATGATAATGTATATTTTATAGGGCTGAGTAAGGAATCCGTGAAATCCGTAATCCGATCCAGTCCAGTCCAATCCGATAGGTTTGGATTGGTCTTTTGAATCCGCGGTTCGGTTCCGGTTTGAAGAATTAAAAATCCGTAGTCCACGGATTGGCTCCGGATTGAACCCCACGGTTCTGGATTGGAACCGATCCGGACCGTATACAAATAGTCTATATTTTTATTATACATCCTCCCCCATAGTATCTTCTCTTATTCTATATAAAATCTAAACTCAAACCTAAAACCGTATAATATCTTATTTTATTACTTTTGTTTGTATTTTCTTATGGTTGTTTAAATTCAAGAACAGTATGTCACTATTATAGAAAAACATGTTGTTATTATGGAACTGATATAGCGTTATGTTTATATTTTTATGAAATTAAAATGTTATATATATATTTGTTATTTAATTATGTAAATCCGTTGTCCTAAACCGATCCAATCCGTATTTAAATGGATTGGTTCCATGATTTAAACGGATTGGATTGGTTCCAATTTTTCAGGAACCGTAGATAACGGATTGGTTCTGGTTTTACTCCAATCCGATCCAATCCGAACCATGCTCACCCCTAATATTTTATCTCTTTGCCAAAGTCATCTTTTGACTCACTACTGTGCACAAAAATCAAGGCTCTGTTTGGAAGAGTTTTGAAATTGTAATTCCATTTCTTGATTTGCACGTGGTGTGTGGTTGTAATTTTCAAAAATTAATTTCACATCCACTTTTAAAAACTCATTTCCAGGCGGGAAAATTTGGCTAACTCGGTCGTCCCCCAGACATTTAGTCGGTTGACCGGAACATTGTACTTTTTTTTTTACCTATTATTTTTATATTTTAAATAAAAAATATTTCCATAATTTTTTTATTTTTTGTGAACTTTGAATAGAATTTTGGATTTTATGTTTGGTTATGAATTGTAAATTTTTGAATTAAATATCATATGTCACATCATTCATTTCAAATTCAATTCAAAACTTTTTTCAAAACTGATAACCAAACAAATTTTTTACACTCAAATCATAATTCCAAAACTCACAAATTCAAAATATAACTCCTATTCTAAAATCATATATAGAAAACTCTACTAAACACTATCTAAATTTTGCCCTAGTGGCTTCCCCCACAAACTACCCTTGAATAATATAGACTTTTTAAATTTTTTAGTATTTTTTTAACTTTTTAGCTTTTTTAAGTGGTGTTTGGGAAGTGTTTTTTTTATTTTTTATTTTTTATTTTTTGGCTAAAAAAACACTAAAAGACAAAATTGGTTAAAAAACCAAAAAAACAAATCCAGACAAAATATCACATCAAACCTATAATTATTTCACTTTTTATCTCACAAACATCACATCCAACTACAAAAAAATTCAACTATCTTCCCAAATACAAAAATTTTAACCTCCTAAAATAATCAAAAACTAAAAAAACCTACTAAAATAACAACTTTCCAAACACCCACTTAGTTTATCCCAAAGTGATAGATTTACTATTTAAATTAATAAAAATCAAATTAAAATAACATTATATATATTTGCTCCAGTACTATTATATCATGTTTGGCAACTTGGGTCTTGATTAAAATAGTTAATAAAGACAAAAAAAAAAAATGACTAAAATAACTAATAAGACAAAATGTCACATCTAACACTTCAATCAATCATTTTTTCTTTGACAACCATCTATTCATCTAAAATAAATTTACAATTCATCCCAAACAAAAAAAAAATTTCATCTCATAAAATAATTAAAAAGTTAAAAAAAATAATTAAAATAGCCAAATTCTCAAACGATGCCATAATTTATTTCACCATATACAATCACATCAGACACAACGACACCATTTCAGATACTCAACATTGCAGCTGATAGAGTCCTTTGAGACGATCATAAGAATCCTGAAATAGCATGGAAATTATTTCACCAAATACAATCACATCAAACACAACGACACCATTTCAGATACTCAGCATTGCAGTTGATAGAGTCCTTTGAGACGATCATAAGAATCCTGAAATAGCATAGAAATTAGGCCCTGTTTGTTTTGGGATACAGAGGGTGGGATGGGATTAGGATGGAGGTGGGACCCACTTAGTGTTGTTTTTGTTTGTAGAGTTGGGGAAGGAATTAGGATGGAGGAGGGGATTAAAATGAAGGCTAGAAGGGGAATTAAGATGGAGAGGGTGGAGGTGGTATTAGAAAAATAGTGAGGAGACTAGAAATTTTTTTTTATTTTTTTATTTTTTACATGTTGGGCATTTTTTTTTAAATATTAATGTTTATTTATTTATTTATTTATTTTATTATTTTATATAAAAATAATTTAACAATTCCTACACTAACAACTATCATTAAAACAAACACAATTTTAATTAATTCCCTCACTATCAATTCCCTTACTATTAATCCCTTCATTACGAATCTTCTCAATTCTATCTCTGAAAACAAACGGGGCCTTAGAATATTACACTTAATGGTTTCAAGTTTTTAAAATTTTTAATTCATATTTTAATAGTTTGGGTATTTTTTTAAATATCTTAATTTTTTTTTAAAACTTTTTATATATACTTAAAAAATATATTGTCACGACCCAAACCCAGCCCTATGGGTTTAGCACCGTAACCGGCCAGTAATCCGAGATTACCAAAGGCCTGCAGAACAGTAACACAGTAAAACAGAGTACAGGGCCTGGCGGAAGCCAATACAGTAAATAAAATATTGTACTTTTTAAGTATACCTAAATTAGGTGTATCTAAAAATAAAAAAATTATATAAAATACTAAAAAATTTTACTAAAAGATAAGAAAAATAAGGAAAACAAAAAACTCAAGTCCATTTAGTTTGGTTTTTAGAATCAATTTTGAAAAATAACTTTTTTAAAAAGAGTTGACAAAATTTAAAAACCTGTTTAGTTGTATGTTCTAAAAATAGTTTTTAAAATTTTGAAAATTCAAAACTTGTTTGCTTTTCAAATTCTTAAATAATTTTTAAAAGAAAAAAAATATCATTTTGCCTTCCAAACTATCACACGTTTTCCACGTTGACCCCCATACTTCGATTTATTTCAATATAGTACCTGAACTTTTCACAAATTGATTAATTAGACCTCTGCCGTCACCTTCCGTCTATAATTGGACGAAATGTGCTGGCGTGACATTTAAAATTTCATTTTACCCCCAAACTATACCTTAAAAATCAATTTACCGCCCAAATTAAAAATCATTTTGCCCCCCAAACTATATTTTAAAAATCAATTTGCCCCTCCACATCGGCACTTTCCGTCCAATTGTGGATGGAAGGAGATGGCAGGGGTCTAATTCATCAATTTGTGAAAAGTTCAGGTACTAAATTGAAATAAATTGAAGTATGGGGGGTCAACATAAAAAACGCATGATAGTTTGGGGCGGAAAATGATATTTCCTCTTTTTAAAACTTTGCTTGATTTTGAAATTTTCAGAAATAGTTTTTGATTTTTAATTTATATTTGTAGTGAACTTTTTAAATATTTTAATCAATATTTTTTAGTTTTTGGATCCACTCAATCTAAATATATTTAAAACGTATAAAATT